TATTCATCCTTACTGAGGAAAACCAGAACCAGCCCAGGGTTCTGTTCAGCACTGAAGCCAGGCTGACAAAGAGTCACAGCTCTGTGGAGCCTTGTTTCCTTCAGCTCTCAGCAGTGAAGACGTCATGACCTTCTTCACTGATGAAGTCTGAATATGAGACAGAAACTCATGAACATGTGTGCAGGTGCAGCAGCAGCTCTGGATGCATCCATAGGACCAGATCTATCCTGTGACTGCTTCTCTGCTGTGAACCTGTCAGAGCTCACGTCCATAGGAAATTCTTCTGAACCAGCAGCATGTCTGTTGGACCCAATCCCAGCTAGACTGTTCAAGGACGTCTTCCCTGTAATAAATACTGCAGTATTAACTATCATCAGCTTCTCTTTGCTAACAGGCTACGTAGGCTTTTAAAGTAGCTCTAATAAAACCACTGCTCACAAAGTCTGCTCTAGATCCAGGTGTTCTAGCTATAGGCCCAGATCCAACCTCCCTTTGATTGGTAAAGTTCTGGAAGAAGCTGTTGCAGCCAGTTATGTGATTATCTGTATAGAAATGTTTGTCTGAAGAGTTTCAGTCAGGATTTAGAATCCATCATAGAACAGAGACACGCTGGTGAAGGTCACTGATGATCTTCTTATAGCCTCAGACAGTGGACCAGTTTCTGTACTGGTTCTGCTGGATCTCAGTGCTGCATCTGATCCAGTGGATCACAGCATCTGGGTTTAAACTACTAACCCTAAACAGCTCACAGACTATATAAGAAAGAAGGACATAGCAGCCGGCCCTAAAAAATGAAGCCAACCTGGAAGCGTCTAAAACCTGCAGTACCACTACTGCTGACAGGAGCTGGCTCCAAAAAAATCCTTTATTATCGTTGGTATGCCTGGTCAGATCCAGAAATCTGGTGGTCAATCTCAAAATTAAAAAATTAATCATTGAAAAATTAAAAAACGAATTATACATAAGGCCCCAAAATTTTAGTCACCGGGAAGACGTGTTTGTGGAAAAAATGGCCCCTTTAAATAAAAAAAAACAAAACAAAACAAAAAAAAGCTATTGTGGCATCTGATGTTCTAACTTGTGTGTGACATGTTTAGGTGCTGCCAGGGAGTCTCTGTTTAGAAAAGTGTAGGTGCTGCTGGAGATTCTCTGCTTAACGAATTGTGCTTCTCTGTGTAGACTTATCTCCTTCTGTGGTTATGAACCATATGCTCTGTCTTCGCTTTATGTAAACAGCTCCTATATAATCCAGTAGTTAAGTTTATTCTGGAAGGTGATTCGTTTTAGCTTCGAATCCTCTCACAGGCAAACCGTGGTGTCTGAGATACTGTACTTGTTTCAATAAACCTTTTTATATATAACAAGATGGTATCAGTGAATAATTTCTTCAACACCTTCACATCATCAGTACTCAATCAACAACACTTCACATTGCAGTTATGTATTTTTATTATATTACCATCGGTTTTTTCTGTATTGTTACATTTTCAATACATAGACATACCAAAAGCTGCTTTTCCAATTTTATTTTTTGACCGCTGTCCTGCTTTTACTTTGAAGGCGTCTGTTCCTGTCTGCTGCGGGCTCAGCGCGTGCATCTTGTCGCTCCTCCCTGTTGCTGCTGCGCGCGCAGTGAGGCGCTCCGGTTGGCGCTCCGACAGTCCGCTGTGTCGCGGCTCCGACGGTGTCCGTTCCGTGGAGCAAAGGAATGTGTCGACTCCCTGACGCTGCGCACCTTCTCCCATTGTTCCCGCGGAGGATGGTGGCCGGTGGATAGCTCCAACCTAGGACTCCTTGGGTTTTTTTTTCTTTGTTTCTCGGTGAAGCGCACTGAAATCAGTTGGTAAGTGTCCGTCGTTGCGCACATCCAGTCACCTGTTCCACAGGTAGGACATCAGCTTCTGCTACTCCGAGCTAACAGACCTGCTAGATAGGCACAGGACTGTGTGCGAGAGAATAAGCTGCTGGGTCTACTGGATTATAAACGTGCATGGAGGAATTAATGAGGCAGGATGGAGCCGTTATTAGCACTGAAACTGATGGGGGGAAAAATCAAAACAAGAGGAGGTTAAACAGCAGATTTTCGTGTGTTTAGCTTTCCTGCCAGCACCGGTCAGATCAGGCATCAGCTGTAGGTTTATTCAAACGTAAGTGCACCAAATAGTGGTGAGAGCAGGCGGACAGTGAGCTCCAGCAGCACAGCTCCCTGTCACTTCCATGACCTCACAGCGCTGAGCTGTGCATCAGCTGTGCTTATGAAAATGCCACCAGCTCCCAACAGAGAGCCCCATGGCAGCTGGATTATGTGCTGTGGTTTATTAAGAGGTGTGTAACTCGTGACCTTCAGGTGGCAAGCTGACACCAGGAACATAATACATTAGACTAAAATTGAAATTTTCACAAGAAGTAGTAGTTTAGGAATACATTTCAATTTAAAGGACCCATACCAGTGTTCATAATATGATACAGGCCTACAGGTAAAAAGTAGCTTTGGAAGGCCACAACAAAGGCTCAGTGTCCTGTGCCAGTATCCAGTGATTTCAATGTGACCACTCTGCAGTCCTAAAAATAGACATCATTTACCACTTACTCCATCATGAGAGGCCGATAAACCACAATCAGTAATGGAAATATTATTTCGTAACTCTAAATGTTTCCTAGATATTATAAGGGTTTTACTGATAAACCCTTAAATCTGCTAAACCCTTAGCTTTGCTCTTTATGTGCTCATTCTTAATACAACAGTCTTGCAAGGTCCAGGTCCAGTCCTGTACAAAGGCCCTTGATCAGGCCTCAGTCTATACGCTTTGGTTAATGTGGAGCTAAAAATGTTCCTTCAAAAAAGCTCAAAATTTAAACCCTGAGTGTCTGTCTTTGTTTAGTCTTGTCTTCTTGCATGAGCTCTTTCGTGAATCATCACTGTGTTACACAATGTCAGGTAAGGAGAATGAAATCTGGGTCTGCAAGGGTACCAGCAGCTCTTCCTCATCTTTCAAATTCATTTTAGCTCCAAGGCACTTCCTCTAATTTTATGATTTCACCTCATGGTAATTACATCTCCATGAGATCATATCTGAAGTAAATCTGTCTCAGTGCTTGGTCTCAGTTCAGTGGCTAGGTGTTTTTGTGTTTTTGTTTTTTCCCTTGGTGATGCCTGTCAATCAAATGCTGTGGCAAAAGCTCAAACTTCATTTTCTTATTAAGCTATTTTTTTTGTGTTGTAATTTTTTGTAGTTTAGCTCTGTCACTGTTCACACTAAGTTTCAAGTTCTTTTGGGAGCATGGATAATAAAACCCTTAACGCCCTGTGATTCTGTTCTAAAACTGAAAGTAAACATATCGGTTGGCATCGTAGTACCAATCTAACAAAATGTATTGTGCAGCCTATAACTTTGAAGCTACATTAAATTTGGAGGGAGTGAATCAAACTCTAACCAAAATATTGACATATGACCTAAATACAGTTCCTATAATGTTTATTAAGCAGCTGTCTCTTTACACGTACAGCAGGCAGTCAGCGATATTAGCATACAACTGAAATTGTGATTCTGATCATCTGAGTAGTGTTTACTTGTCTTTTAGCCCCATTCAGACCTTTTCTGCTGAAGGTGGCGCTAAAGTAAAAATGGTTTGTTGGTAAACAGACAAACCAAAACAACATTGTGAAGATGGAAGGAAATGCAGAGTTCAGTGATAATTTTTATTCTAAGTCTCACTTTTGATGTTGTTTATTGTCATTTTATATTCCACAAAGCTAGTTAAGTAGTGACCCAAATACCTCTGAGGTTAGCAAACTACATCGCAAAAACAAATGTGCTTGTGTAAGTGTTTTATGGTGCAGAGGGGAGCAGCAGCTTCATAGTGATGGGAATACAGTCACTTCTAGTCATATTTAATCTCCTAGTTAATATTTTGTCATGGGAAGTGTAGGTATTGTGCTCATACTACCGCTGCAGGCAGCCTGCTATGTTTGTCACTGCTGGGTGAATCATCTGACTTCCTATCATCTGTTCTTCTGTGTAAAGGGGGAAATAAGGCAGATTTATCTCCTCAATAAAGAAAATTATTGGATTAATTAAAATGATCAAAACCAACCTTTAGATTATTCATCCACTGATATAATCTCTGAGTCAGCACAATAATTCTAATTAACTGTTCACTCTTGGTAATCAGTCAAGAGTGTTTTATAATGACACAATTCCACTTTAACCAGGAAATTGAATTTGAACTTAGGTAACTATGAAGATCAGATATGTAAAGTGACTGAAAGTAAGCTATAGAAAACACAAGAAACAACTGTATACGCACAAAACATTTATTACTATCTACAACCAACAAATAACAATAACAGCAAACAGAAAACATAAAATACAAACAATGATGAAAATGCTGAGTGAGAATCTTGA